TGCAGCAATTATGTCAGGCTTTCATTAGATACTGGAGTGAATTAAAAAAAGAAAGTCTCCCAGGAGATTATAATCTGGGTGATAAGTGGTATATAAATAGAAAGTTAAAAAAAATCCCAAGGATGGGATGACTGTTGAAGAAAGCAATACAACTCTCTGTCACCTTGGAACCTGGTTCAGTGTGATCATGGCTTTGGCATTCTGAAGTGCGAGTGTGCCAGAAGAGTGGCTGGTGGAGGCATGGGGCAGGACTGAGCTAACTCTCATGGACTAAAAGGAGATGCAACAGGAAAAAGAGGAGGGTGTTTTTCCAGGTGTGAGATCACAGTGATGAAGGCCTGGTTCTAGTTTCTGATTAATTAATAAGTTGCTGTTTAGTCTTGCCTAATCCTACTAGGAGAATCTCAGATCTTTTAACCTCACTTGAAGATGTAGCCATTGGTAGGCAGGTATATGTATAAAGCACTCTAGGATTTATCCCCTAATAGAATCTATTTTTATATAGGTTAATTCTGGGGCACTATGAACTCCAAAGGTGGTTGTGAGGGCATAACATCATCCAAGTAGTCAGGGAAGCTCTGGGAGGGCAAGGAAGCAGTGATGTTATAGAAGGCCAGTGGCATCCTGGGAAGAGGGAATGGAAGGGGCTTCTATCACCAGGGGAGCCAGCTCTGGCCCTTGTTGCTTCAGTGACAGGGGTGAAAGGTAAGTGTAATTTTCTTTGATGGTTGTGCCTTGAATCTTTCTTCAGGGTGAGGGAGAGATAAACAAAGGGATTCCTTTCTCAAGTTTCTGGTTAGCCTCACTGGTCTCTTTCTCTTCTCTTTGGGCATCTTTGGGGCTCTCATCCAAACCTATTTCAACCCTTGAGGCCAGATCTGCTTTATGTGTCACTCAGGGAATCCCATCTAAGAGTCCAAATGGGGAAAATGCAAGGTCTGGAGCAGAGAGGGGTCAGAATGCTGATCTGACCTCTGGCTGCTTGAGAGAAGTGAACCAGCTTTTGAGGCATCTTTTGCCCTCCCAAAGCCTAGGATGAAGTTCCTCTTACTTAAGGAAGCAGGGGCCATCAAAGGCTTAGAGTGTGCTATTTTCTAACCCATGAGCCTACTGTTTCCAGAAGGATACCAAAATGTTTTTAGACAGGCAGAGACCTTTCATTACTTCCAGAAGATAAAATAAATGAAAATCCAGGTGTGTATATGTGTGGCACAGTGATAAAATTTAATTCAAATGCAAGGGACTGATATTAGAGCCTTTCTGGAGCATAGCTTCAGACAAGGGAAAAAGGTATCAAGGCAAAATTTCCTGAGTCTCAGAAGCCAAGGGTAAGTAAGAATGGAAAATTTGAGATATGCGAAAGCTATTTTTTTTAGAGCATCGTCTCCAGATCTAAATTCCCATTGATAGTTTGGGAAAACACACTTATATTTTTATAACCTAATTTGCTCTGAAAATAACCGTGTCTGGTATCTAGAGGTGTGGAGGCCTAGAAGAAAAGGGAAGTGGGGATTTTTATTTTCTTGATTTTGTGAGGAAAACAAAACTTTCTAAAAAAGGACCACTTTTGTAATTTAAAAAATCATTTGTCAACATTCACTTCTTGGGAGGAGGAGAAGAAAGAGAACCTGAGGCTGTACTGGAGAGAGCTAATACATTCTCATCAGTAACATGGCAATGATTCCCAACTCGAGGGAGGAGAACTTGCATCCTTAACCTTCGCTTGAGTGTCAAAGATCAAGAGAGCGCCTTTTTGCTTCTGCTTCTCTTCTAGAAAATTCTGAAGACAGCTAGAGTCAAAAGGAAGCAGGGATAGAGGGTGGGGGAAAAGGTGAGAGTTACATGGTGCACACAATTTCAGGGGCTCTTGAGGGCTGAACACAAGCTATGGTAGTAGGAGCAATAATAATTGGCAACATCGACAATGATCATGCCCCAACGTAGAGCCCCAAATCTCTGCCCCAGGTATTTGTATCATCTCATTCAATCCTAACAACCTCCTGGATTATCCCCAAGTGAGAAATGAGGAGGAACGAAGGCTCAACTGAGGCACTACAAGTGGTCAGCGTGTCTCGCTGATGGCTGAGGAGTGCAAAGCCATTCCATTGGACCTACCCCTGGAACCATTCCTAGGCAGATTCTGGCCTGGGATTTCCGTGTCTCATTCAATCCTGAAACGGTCCTCTGTAGTAGATAAACAGCTCTATCCAAGAAGGAATTGCCGTATACCCGGTGCTGGGGAAGAACAGCTTCTGGTTGGCTCTTAGCGGAACTTGCCTGTCGGTGGCGTGTGTTCCCAACCCGGAGGCCCAGAGTGCGGGCCGGGAGGGGGACGCTTTCTGGCGCGGACAGTGAGAGGAGGCTGTGAGCGCCGCCGCCGGAGAAGACCGACGCTCGGCCAGGGCCAGCCCGCGGCGCCCGGGCCTGGCCGGCAGCTTCCCGCCCCAGCCACCACCCCCACCACCGCCACCGCAGACGCTGCCGAGCCGGGCGGAGCGGAACCTGAGGTCCTTCGGCCCTGCCAGGTCCGGTGCGGCCCGGAAACCCGGCGCGGGAGGTGAGAGCTGGTGCCGGTTCCCGGCTCCCCGCTGGGGCCGCCTGGATCCGCAACAATGGGGACCGAGTGGGGACGCGGCCCGGGCCCCTGGCATGCAGCGGCCTGGGGCAGCAAGACGGTCCTTGCGACCCGGGTGTTGGGGGCACTGGGTCCGACCTGAGAAACTCTATAGTGGTCAGAGGCTTGGTTGGGTTCTTGGTCTCGACCCGGGGGCTCTGTGGATTGATATTTGGGGATTTTGTAGCCAAGGAAGGGAGTCATAGGGGCACTCTGAGGGGACTTAACTGTAGTGGCTGTGCGCTCTTAGCGCTTGATGCTGGTGCCTGGGAGGCAGACCATGACGGGGTGTGTGCGCGTTGGGGGGAGGGGGAAGTGTTTGGAATTTTGTCCCTGGTTCCTAAGGCGCTTCCCCACTAATCTCCCGAGGTCTGGGAATTGGCAGACTGGGGTCAGATTGGGGGAGAAGAGAGACAGTGAGAGTATAGCTTCTCTAAGTAACTGGTGATTAGTTCCTGGAAAGGCAGGAGCTCAGCTGGGCACAGGAGAGTAAAGAGCTGGATCCTCCCAGGCCCACATGCACCCTGGCAAGGTGTGGTTTTCAGGTAAGGAACTTATCACAGGAGGAGTGAATATGTGCTGGCTGCCTTGGCTTTAGGGTGAGGCCGGTGGGAGTTGTCATTTGGGAAGTGTAGAGGAAGGTTTGTAGGCTGCTGAGATTGGAGAATCAGCTTTATGTGGGTCATGGTGGCAGCCTGGGAGATGAACAAGGGAATCTTGCAGAGTGGGCTTCCTGACGGAGAATGACCTCTTACTGCGGGGGAGTGGGTGACTCAGATGTGTTAGGATTTCTGTCGCTTGCTAGCAAATGTGGCTGACTATGTTGGTGGCTGGACATTGAGGTGGATGAGACTGGAGGGGGTGTTAGGGGGCCAGATGAGTTTGTTCCTGAGTAGAGGACAATTGCAGACCTTTCCTTCTTACTCCAAGTCAGAGTGGTGGCTGTCATTGACAATATTTTAAGTAAGGAATTTCCTTGTGGCATTTGGATCCATAGCTTTTCTCTGTTTGGTTTTTTTTCCTTCTTTTTTTTTTTTGAATTGTGACTCATACTTTCTTTTCAGTGCTGTGGCTATTGTTTGTAATGACAGACAAACATAAGACTCTATCATATGTAAATTCTAGGGGGTTTCAGTCCAATTCTTATAAATCTAAATTAAAAGATTTTTTCACTAATTTGTGTGCCATTGTCTAATGTGTGCAGCTCTAGGGAGGTATATGAAAACCCTAGCAGTCTATGTTGTTAAAAGCTCTTTTCATCCCTAAGTCCATGAAATTTCATTTTTTCTTACTGCCACGAAGTGATTATGTTCAGTCTGTTAAATCTTAGTGATTGTCATTTCAGTTTCAGCACTCTTGTTTGTGCTCACAGGACAGTGTCTTCACTAGAAGTGTTATCCATCTTCGGCGAATTTCTGTACACTGTGTCTCCCTGTGACAATCTGTATCACTGAAAGACAGTGTGCAAACTCCACTCTGAAGCTTACAGCTGTGGGCCAGAGCTCTGTATGTATTATTCAGGCAAAAGTTGGTGTTTTGTCTGAAGATAAGATATTAAAGGAGGCCCTACATGAACAAAAACAGCATCAAAATCATTGTACCTGGGGGGAGGGGGGGAAATGGGCATTTATTGAAACCTTAAAATCTGTACCCCCATAATATGCCGAAATAAAAAAAAATCTAAAAAAAAAAATCATTGTACCTTCTGAGTTTAGAATGGTAGAAGGTACAGCCTAATTTGAGTCTAATATAAATTTTTATGTGAGATGTGAGGTAATTCTGATTATTTGTAGTTGTGCTGATAGTTTTAGTTATTCTAGGCATTCTTTTTTTCCTTTAAGCTTTAAAAAATTATTTTCCTTCAATAGTATATTCTCTCCCTCTCTCTCTTTCATTTCACATCCATTCTTTCATAGACCAGAATCTTTTGCATTATGTCAGGCACTGTGTTAGGCACCTCCACAATGGCAATGCTATTTTTGATGTTTTGATAGTGGTAGTTCCTAATTCAGAGGTCGCTGTAGGTCTGTGAAGAAAGAAATTGACTATTTAGAGGAAGTAAAAGTTGTAACAAGGTTTCTGTAGGTGAGCCTATGGAAGGAAAAAAAAATTAGAAATTAAAAAAAAGTAGAAGTGATTCAGGTATATCAAACTTTTAATCAGCAAAGCCATTGGATAAAGTTTTTATAATGTATTAATTTTGTCTAGTGACAATTGATTGTCTCTACATATTTCTATGGAAAAAGTTTAGCTATAACTGTGTATTCACATTGGTCTGGGGTTGTTTTTGCATTATTTTATTTAAATACACCTGTTAAATTTAAGTACTTCTGTTCGTTGTGTGTCTCGATGAGCGGTGATTTACAAATACTATATATGTGTTCAGGTTCCCCAGGAAGCCATCACACTCTCCTTCCTACTGTGGTTTTGGGAGCATGAAGGCGTTGCTTACCTCCTATGTCTGGTTCACTGTATGTAGGCTGGGAGTGTCTGCTGATCGCTTGAATTACTGTCCCTTGGAACAGGAGGCCTAAGATTGAGGTAAGGCTGAGTCTATTTGAAGTCACTTGCCTCTTAATTTTTACTGCATAAAATATAAGGTAAACCTGAATGTTTTTTTCTTTGTTAATCTTCATTCTGTAAAATGAAGATTTTGCCCTTTGCTCACTTCTCTCTTTGTAAATATATCTTAGCCAAAAATAAGTGAAGACATTTAAAATCAAGGCACTTAGATAATAAATAAATTCCTTGAAATATCTCTCATTTTTCATCTGGGCTATTTACTTGATCAAAGAAAATAAAAACTGGTTCATTTGTTGCTTTGGAGGCCAAGTGTTTGCTTAAAGAAATGTTTTTGGTTAACTCTTTTCAAATGGATCAACTTCACAAACTCTTGGAAATAAGGCTTAGGGTTTTTGATTTCTTTGGAAAAATTCTGAAAGCTGCCTAGTACAATAGGAAGAGTTTTTGGAGTTATCCCACTTTTGTTTCCTGCTCACTTTTTGAGCAGGTAAGCTGTTAACCTCTCTGAGCTTTGATTTTTGTTTTGTTTTTCTATCTGTAAAATGGGGCTGATATAATCTTTGCAGGTTGTAGTGAGGATTGGAGATGAGGGCCTGCTGCTTCGGGGCTGGTCAGTGCTGCCTGTTAGTAGTATTTAGTGTGTATTAGTATATAGCAGCCACTAGTCTTAGTAGTATTTGTAGTAAGAAAGTTGCTGGGTGCTATGCAGGATGAGGGGCTTGGTCCTTGTCTGGTGAGAAAGGCAGCTGTTTGTCTGCACCTGGTGGCACTCTGGACAGGTGAAGGAATTGTTGAGGTAGTTTTTATTCAGTACTGGTAGGCAGGAGTCTGCACTATAAAGTCCAAGGTCATTGCTGGCGCTGGTTTTATTCCTGGCAGTTTGTATGGAGAAGCCAGGAGGAAACTGTTTGACATGTCCTTGTTTGGGAACAGTGGGCATTCCCATTGGCAGAACACTGGACTGTGGCAGGCAGCATGGTGTTCTGTATAGTTCTTTTTTTTCTTTTTCTTTTTTTTTTTTTTGAGACACTTTGTTGCCCTGGGTAGAGTGCCGTGACATCAGTCTAGCTCACAGTAACCTCAAACTCCTGGACTCAAGCCATCCTCTTCCCTCAGCCTCCCAAGTAGCTGAGATTATAGGCGTGCACCATGCTTGGCTAATTTTTTGTATTTTTAGTTGCCCGGCTAATTTGTTTTCTATTTTTAGTAGAGATGGAGTCTTGCTCTTGTTCAGGCTGGTCTTAAACTCTTGACTTCAAGCTATCCTCCCGCCTCAGCCTCCCAGAGTGCTAGGATTACAGGTGTGAGCCACCGCATCCAGCCTCTGTATGGTTCTTGATCAAGATATTTCTTTAGCTTTCTTCTGGTAGTATCAGAGACCTGGCTTTGGTGTTTTTGCCAGGAAGGCTTCAGATGCTGGAGAGATTTGTCATCCTTCTCTAATTGGGACTACTTTGATAGAATCTAGCACTCTGTTCAGACATGTTTTTAATGAACAGAAGGTTCACAGGCTTTGTTATAGAATTGTTCAGTTTTTTCTGCCTGTGAGAGGAAAAAAAAAGTGCTGTTAATATTCAAGAGAAAATTAAGGAGAGGCCAGAAGTAATTTGAAATAACTGGACCCTAAATTCATTCCAGTCTTGCCCTAGTCAAATCCCCTCTCCATTCAGAATGGTCTTTAATTCCAGTTAAGAGTATCTAATATGGCTGGGCATGGTGGCTCACGCCTGTAATCCTAGCACTTTGGGAGGCTGAGGCGGGTCAATTGCCTGAGGTCAGGAGTTTGAAACCAGCCTGAGCGAGACCCTGTCTCTACTAAAAAAAATAGAAACTAATTGACCAACTAAAAATATATATACAAAAAATTAGCCGGGCATGGTGGCGCATGCCTGTAGTCCCAGCTACTCGGGAGGCTGAGGCAGGAGGATTGCTTGAGCCCAGGAGTTTGCGGTTGCTGTGAGCTAAGCTGACGCCATGGCACTCACTCTAGCCTGAGCAACAAAGTGAGACTCTGTCTCAAAAAAAAAAAAAAAAAAAAGAGTAAATAATATTCCTCTGGCCTCAAAATAACATGAACATCTAGAGCAGGTGTCCCGCGGGCCACATGCAGGTGTTTTTGCCTGTTTGTTTTTTTACTTCAAAATAAGATATGTGCAGTGTGCATAGGAATTTGTTCATAGTTTTTTTTTAACTATAGTCTGGCCCTCCAGCAGTCTGAGGGACAGTGAACTGACCCCCTTTTTAAAAAGTTGAGGACCCCTGATCTAGAGTCTAGACCCTTAGCATGTTTCTGCTTCAGCATCTCATAAGAACCTTTATGACCTGCTTCCTCTATATTTTCCTTTCTAGTTTCTCCTCTACTATAATTCCTCTGGCACATGCAGCTTAGTTATATTGAATGCCTTGAAGATCCCAGCATGCTCAGGCTATTCGTTCTGCTAATTTTGCTCCCCATTCTAGTGCTTGGCTGACTCTATGAGGCTTGAACCAGGAGTTCAGGTATCACCTTCTTCTCTTCTCTCTCTCTCTCTCTCTCTCTTTTTTTTTTTTTTAGCATATTACAGGGGTAAAATGTTTAGGTTACATATATTGCCTTTCCCCACCTGAGCTTCAAGTGTGTCCATCCCCCAGATGGTGCACACTGCACCCATTAGGTATGTATATACTCTCCCCTCCTCCCCCTTTCCATCTGCCCGACACCCCATGAATGTTATTACTATATGTGCACTTAAGTATTGATCAGTTAACACCAGTTTGATGGGAGTACATACCACTTTATTTTAATAAAAGCCTTCCTTGATTCCTTCCAGGTTTAGCTGAATGCCTGTCCTTAGTATGGCATGCAATTTGTACAAGCTTCTTTCATAATCATGCTGTACTGTTAAGTTTGGGTATTTTTGTGTGTTTTCTGTGCCTAGCTTGTGACCTACATGAGAGCAGGACTTGTCTTGTTTATCTTTATATCCCAGCACCTAACCATTTCTGGCATAGAGTAGCTGCTTGGCAAATGTTTGTTGAGTGAACAAATGAATGACCTCTGCTTATATATGACAGGAAATCATTCCTTGGAGAGCTGGTAATGTGATGAGCATTCTGACTTCATGGCTGTATCTGATGCTGGCTGAAGCAGTGCCTCTGCCTCTACATTTCCAGGTTGCTAAAGGCAACACTTTGCTGTGAAATGTGTTACTTATCCATATGTTCATAATTTTTAGGCTGGGGGGCATTATTTGCTTTCTTAGAGTCTTACAGACATTTCCTTGGGGAGAGAATATGACAGTTCTTCGTTGGTATTTTCTAGATCTTCTGTTGGCCATTTACTGCTCTGAGCATTTTATCCTCAGGTGAAGAAGTGACTAGTCAGTTTGGGCCACAGGGTATCCAGACAACTACTGGTGAGCTGGCACCTGCTGAGAATGGGTAATGGATTGAACACTAGGATGTTGTGACTTTTACTGGATTGTGAGCCTTTTGAAGACTTAGCTGAGCTCAGTGTCACCATATTCAGGAAATAAGATTATTTGACCAAACTTTATTCAGGAATTTGAATTGTCTCTACTAACAATAGAAAGAAATTAGCTGGACAACTAAAAATATATAGGAAAAATTAGCCGGGCATGGTGGCGCATGCCTGTAGTCCCAGCTACACGGGAGGCTTAGGCTGAAGGATTGCTTAAGAGGCCAGGAGTTTGAGGTTGCTGTGAGCTAGGCTGATACCACAGCACTCTAGCCTGGCCAACAGAGCAAGACCCTGTCTTAAAACAAAACAAAACAAAAACAAAAAAAACCTCTGATATATTAATTATTAGTCAGGAGGCTATGTATTCTGACTTACTTACCTAGAAATTATAGAATTATGCCACTTTACTCAGTCACCTTCTTGGTTCTTAGTGGTAAAATAACTTGAGAAGAGTGTATTATCTAAATTACTTTGATTTAGTTTTTATGGTTGATCTGACCACATAGAAATCCTACTGAAGGCTGGGTGTTAGGAAGCTTATCAAAGTGTACATAATGCAGTCTTTCATGCAAGTGATAAGCATAGTAGACTGCAGAAAAGGAAGCATGAAAAGTAACTATAGTTAGGTTAAAGATAAAAATTGATATGAGATAAAAAGGAAAAACTGAGGCAAAACATAAGGGACTTTATTTATTTATTTATTTTTTGAGACAGAGCCTCACTCTGTTGCCTGGGCTAGAGTGCTGTGGCATCAGCCTAGCTCACAGCAACCTCAAACTCCTGAGCTTAAGCAATCCTTCTGCCTTAGCTTTGCGAGTAGCTGGGACTACAGATATGTGCTACCATGCCCAGCTAATTTTTTCTATGTATTTTTAGTTGTCCAGCTAATTTCTTTCTATTTTTTTTTTTTGAGACAGAGTCTCACTTTGTTGCCCAGGCCAGAGTGAGTGCCATGGCGTCAGCCTAGCTCACAGCAACCTCAAACTCCTGGGCTCAAGCGATCCTGCTGCCTCAGCCTCCCAGGTCGCTGGAACTACAGGCATGTGCCACCATGCCCGGCTAATTTTTTCTATATGTATTAGTGGCCAATTATTTCTTTCTATTTATAGTAGACGGGGTCTTGCTCTAGCTCAGGCTGGTTTCGAACTCCTGACCTTGAGCAGAGCAATCCGCCCGCCTCGGCCTTCCAGAGTGCTAGGATTACAGGCGTGAGCCACTGCGCCCAGCCTAATTTCTTTCTATTTTTAATAGAGATGGGGTCTCACCCTTGCTCAGGCTGGTTTCGAACTCCTGGCCTTGAGTGATCCTCTTGCCTCTGCCTCCCAGCATAAGGCACTTTAAATTTGGCAGCAGCTGTTAAATTGAAGGCATTTTTGTGGGTAGTGTTGAAGTATTAGAAAGAAGTTGTTATAATACAGGTTGGAAGCAATAAAAACATGGAAAATTTCAGCCAGCTAAGGCACATTGGAGGTGCTAGCACTTCCTTGATGGTTTCATAGTACCATCGGTGAATAGTTATATTAGGTAGAAATGAAAAATGTTTGCTTTACTACAAGTA